GAGATAAGAAGCTTCGAAGACGTTCAGCAGTTGCAGTATTTACATGCGGCGGCGTATGAGAGCATGAGGTTGTACCCACCGGTTCAATTCGATTCCAAGTTTTGTTTGGACGATGATGTTTTGCCTGATGGGAGTTTTGTGAAGAGAGGGAGTAGGGTTAGTTATCATGCGTATGCGATGGGTCGTATGGAGGAAATATGGGGTTTGGATTGTTGTGAGTTTAGGCCAGAAAGGTGGTTGAAGGAAGGGGTGTTTTGCCCTCAGAACCCGTTTAAGTATCCGGTTTTTCAAGCGGGGATGAGGGTGTGTTTGGGGAAAGAAATGGCTCTCATGGAACTCAAGAGTGTCGCAATTTCGTTGCTTCGAAGGTTTCACATCCAATTACTCGAACCCTATCATCGCACCAACCCACGTTTCTCGCCTGGCCTCACTGCCACTTTTAGTTGCGGCCTTCCCGTAAAGCTACGTCAACGACACCACCCTCTAAATTTATAATCAATATTCCCCATCAGTAAATTTATGTGTCTTTAATTTCATAAAATTCTCATAATCTAATCATCCATATATACCAGAATGTTTGCGATTAAATGATACACATATATGTACACTTCGGTTCTCGTTGCTATATTCTTGCATAAAAACACTATCAACGGTTAAATTCTTAGAAACTTATTATGTAAATCATTTTTTTTGGCCCATTATGTAAATCATGTATTTGCAGATACGTACTTTATTTTTTCCAATATATGGTACAAATAAGGTATGTATGTAGATGAGATTGTTTCATGTCAGTTGATGGGGAAAAGAAAGGGAGCCCACGTGTTTTTTGGCACACTGGTCGGTATGCTATATTATTGCGGAATGCAATACTAGGTGAGTGATTGACGAGGAAAAAGACTGGCGAACAGTTGCTGACTCTTGCACCACTAGAATGTTGGTGTTAGTGTGTTCTCCTATTCTACCAGATTTCACAACTATAACATTGAATAAGCTTTAAAAAGTTGTTTTTGCATGTTTTGTTCTTCTTCTGTGCATTTGGACGATGCTTTATGAATTCAATGGGTTTATACAAAATTTACAACTAACTAGCTAAAGATATAGACTTGCGTTGTGTAGTTAATTGTTGAAAAATGTGATGTTAAATGTTGTTTTGTCTAAAAGTCTTACATTACTTAAGAATTGAGGCTACGGATAGTTTATAAACACCCTTCCTCCTTAACCTATCGAGACATCTTTTAAAGGACAAAACCGTGACGGTTCAACAAGTACTAAAGTGGACAATACTTCGGATGTGTTAATTCTAACTATGACAGCGGACTTACGGTAGGAACATTAACACTAAAAGAAAGGCCTATACCACTTTTACTCTTAGCCTCGACTTCTAAGTGACGAATATTGTCACTAGAACAAGGTCATCGGACTTAAGGTAAGAACAACACCCAAAGTATATTGGACACTTGATTAATAAGAGAAAAAGAGAAGAAAAAAAAATATAATTACGATACATGATTTGATATGATAGAAAATAAAATAGGAAGAAATGATAAATATTGATATAGTGTACGGAGTAGATGAGTGTTTATGAATCATTACTCTTGTTTATTTTTTTTTTCTTTTTACAAAAAGCCATATTTATTTTAACATAACTTAAATCAGATAGGCAAATTTATATAAAATTAATTCTAATGTAAAGGAACATAGCACTATCACAATATTGAAAACTAAGTTTAATTAATTATACTGTTGTATAACTTTACTTATTTAATTTTAAGCTATGACAAATTGCAAATAATCGTTTAATTATTAATTATATTATCACTTGTATAATAATTTTGAGTTCAAAAAATTATTAATTATATAATCTTAGTTAACAATATTTATATTAATATGGTAACATATAATTGACAAATAGTTATATTTTTGAAGTATGTGGTAGCTAGTTCAATTCTCATATTCATGTCTAAGGAAGAATTTTCTCTCAGTCATAGGATACCACGGACAAACAAACAAAAAAAATTGGACAGACAGTTTTCATTCTCTAATCAGTGCCGACTATGCGCACAAATTTTGATAGTGAATTGACCAAAAATATTTTTAGCGCCTATTTAGTAATTATTTTTTTAACAAGCAATTATTATTTTTTATTATTCTTGTAAAATAATAATTGGTAATTATTTTTAAAAAAAACTTTAGTGCTATAAAAGATGGGATTATACAAAGGAAAATAAGGAAAAAAATAAATATTAATTATATCGACATCTATATATTAAATACAAACTTCTATTTTACATTAGAATGAACAAAGAGGTTTGTAAAAAAACAAAATAACTTCTTATCTAATTAGCTAATTCAATTTTTATTTATAATGACTCGTCATTATTCTTATACTTAACGATTCATCTACTCGCAGCAGGATAAAATATATACAATACATAGATATATATACATGTAAAAAATTTAAACAACAATTAAAGGCATATAATGACTACACAAATATATAAAATATTATAGTAATTCAATACTAAAATAATAACTCTAAGTTGTTGGTTAAGTGACTTGATATTACCGAACCAGCACGATCTTTTTATACTTGTTAGATCAACAATCAAATTGGATACTAATCCATAACAACATGATTTTTCATATATCGTCACTTAAATTAAGAACTCTAGTATTCTTGTCAGGGTAAAACAGTTTAGGTGTGAGTCAACTATAACATTAGCTTGGATAACCAAGTCACCTATGAGATTAGTTCACCGACTATCCTCAAAATACTACGCCTTTTTAGTACTTGATAGGGGTTTACCTCGACCTTGTACCTTACTCCAAATGGTTACTTTATATATGTATGTCTTCATACAGATCAACATTGGTCACTTGTAATTAGTATAGTTTGACCTGACCTCGATATTATGATCACTTATAGCTAGTATGCCTCGACATGACCCACATATCATATCAACTGAGGTCCTAGAGGAGACTCAACTATTCACTTCAAGATTCAACTATTCGAGAAAGATTTTTCAACAACTAAGCTCACAAGATACTACACCAATATCCAGATAATGGAATATCCAACTTTTGAAAAGACCCTCTCCTCTAGTCCTATATCGATCAACATAACATGCCTAAATACTTTAAGCATTCTCAACATCATTACCTTAACAGTCCAATAATTTGTCATTTATATACATTATCCTAAATCAATGCATATAGAACCAACATCATTCAAAAAAAAATTCAACTATCAACAGTTTAATCATTGATATACATCATCTCAGATCAATGTATAAAGATTTAACAACATATATCAACATGCCACATGTAGTAGATTCAACTAAACTACACATGTTCACCATTTGTTCAACTAAACAACATATTTTTACTTGGCACTTCATGCCCAATGCCACCCACCTTGCCTCTAACGTCACTAAGACAAGGAGTTATCTATCTCTCACTCTTGGCACCATTCACCTGCGCCCAACATGAACGAAATAAAGAAACCCCCAGGATAATCATGCTTGATGTGGTTAAACTCACGCTCGACCTTATTTCGGGTAGAGATGATTCTCTCTCTTCACATCTTATGTCACTCTATTGGCATCTGGTGTCACTTAGACAAAGAGTTTCTATCTTGGCCACATTGGGTGCCACACAACTTGGGATCCAGTGTCACCAAGTCAAAGATAATTCTCTCATCTTATGTCCAGTGCCATTCAACCTACATCCAATGTGACCAAATCAAATACTTTTATCTCTCCTCACGATCAACGCAATTTAAGATAGAGGACTCCTAATTGAGTCACACTTAACACCTTGAAGCTCGTCCGATGCAATGGTGAATTCTACACTTGGTAAATTCACAAATTTGCTCAATCCCATCTAAAACTCAAACAATTCAAGCATGCAACACCAAGAATCAACTATACACCACATTCTACTCATTTTCAACCACAAATACAACATGCAACAATGAATTAATCAATATTAATCACCTGAATCTCCCCCAACATGCTCAAAGAGACTCAAAACCCCACAATACAAGAATTATATCTTCAAATCACCTACACAACCACAATTTAGATGCAATCCATCATCACACAACATTAATAATCAATAAGAATTTAGTTCTATGTTCCCTTACCTCGGAACCGAGGTGAAATGAGGAAGAAGATGAAGAATAAGAAAAGGAATGAATTTTGAGTAGCTTTGCGCTAACACTCCAGCACTCTAATCCTTAACTCAACTAATCTGGATCACCTTTCTACAACTCACAAAAGCAGGAATCAGATGTTTGTTGTGGAATGAGAAGGAAGTAAAGTCATTTTTGGTTACAGAGCTTTAATAATAAATAAAATTTCATTAGTGAAAAGAATTAATAATAATAATAATAAATAAATAAAATTGGCTAAGTTGAGTATTTAAATTTGAATATCTGAGTAATTATTTTAATTGATAATTTTTAAAATATATATGCAATGGCAAATTTGAGTTATATACATCAAGTCATAATATTTTTAACTCTTAGTACTTTGATTGTATAAAATTATCTTATCTTTTATAATATATTAATCATAAATAACAAAAATTTACAGCCGCGGTCAGGTTAGCAGTGAGAAATCAAAGTAGTTCAGCATAAAGTCTTTAAAATTTTTACTTTATCATCAAAATTAATTATACACAAATAAAAAATTTAAAACAAAAGTAAGTTATAAATATGTTCAGTTTATAACTAAACACATGGACAACTAGTATAGAATCATTCCATCTTTAAGTTATAATCTTAAATTTATGAGTTAATACTCGGATGATGAACTTGGTATAACTAATCTTACAAAGATTATTGGCTTTAATCTTAAGATCCACGTAGTATATATAAAAAATAAATAAATGTGTCAAATTTGTCTGGCAAAGCAAACAAAAATTGTCATTTTGCTTAGCTGGGATGCCTATGTTATTGTCTTGCGGGTAGGGATGACAAATATATATACTCGTGCTCACAGGTAATACCCGAACTCGTCCCGACTTTGACGGGAAATATCCAATTTGACCGGGTACGGGTAAAATTCGATATATTAAATCGGGTACGGGTACGGGTATGTACTTTTTTTTACAAAAATAAAAAAATAAATTAAAAATATCATATTTTTTTTACAAAAAATAAAAAATAAAAAAATTAACGTACAGGTACGGGTATACCCGATACCCAACGAGAATGAGGATGAGGATGAAAATCATATACCCGACAGATACGAAAACGAGAACGAAAATGAGTTTAACTCGCCAGAATAAGAACAAGTATTATGAAACCGTACCCGACTCACCTAGTTGTCTAGCTGTGGGAGACAGAATCAAGTCGACAACTATTAAAAGATGTAAAAACGAAAGAATGTCATGGTCACGTGCGTGTGTGTACTTGTTTCCAAATTACGATTCATGATATAATTAATTTGTCTGGTTTTATTATCAAAATTTGAAACTCACTTCACCTTATAAAGTACCATTATTATAGCATCTCCAAAATGGATTTGAGGAATAATTCACATGGCCATGTGCCCCTCCCTACGTACGTTGCTTAGCACTCCCACGAGGGCTGCGCCTGCATTTTATATATTTTCATCCGTCTTCCTCGTGCCACACACACCAATGACAATAAGCACCAGTTTTGTGTAGGATTTAAATTTTGTAGGCCAATAAATAAATGTGTTTATACCCAAATTATGATTAAGCGAAAGAGAAACAAAATTCATGATTATCTATATCTAGAAGATGACTCTTGGTGTACTAACACATGTATCGTTAAACAAGAGGCTCACAGATACTATAAAAAAAATTTTCTACTGATACCCCTAATTGGATCAATTTCCTCAACTGAGCAATGAAAAATATT